TGTTCGAGACTTTGTCGGTGTGTGTGCCACATGTGGTAAAATAAAGAACCTACAGATAGAAGCTAGAGGACCATTTATTAATATGAAGGCTGAATATTCGAATGAGGTAGTTGGTGTGTACATTATAGGACCGCTACAAGAGATTAGGAGTGGGAGAAAATATATCTTTGTTGAGGTACATTATTTTACAAAATTGTGTGTGACTTTATCCCTTAAACGAATTGATACTTCTACCGTAGCTAAAGCTATGTTTGAGTGTATTGATTGATTGTCCTCTGGGGCGCACCAGAACAACTGCATTCTGACCAAGGAACAGATTTCGAAAGCCTTTTAGTCAGAGAGATGTGCCATTTGTTTGAAACTCCAGAGTCCAGAACCACAGAGTTATCATACGTACTTTATGATGATTATTTAAATACCGATTGAATCATGAGAGGGTGGAATTAAATCATTAACCCCCACAGCTTTGTACTATTTTAGATCAGAGGCAGCTGTTGTAATCTCGTCTATAGTTAGAAGATTGATACTGACAGCTCTTTCGGCCTGGGAGTGGATGTTGACCCCTACATTGTGTCCATAAGATAGCTGAACTCCTATTTATAGTGTTCTGCAAGAAGACATAGCTACATATTCTAACAAGCTATCGAAATTTCATATTTCTTAGAGATCTCTTTACGTGCTACAACTTTCCAATAACCTATTTCCCGAATGAGCTGAAATAGTTGACAGGTAAACAGTAAGGCGATTGCATTTAATTTTCTCTCCGTCTCTTCAAATACCATTGTTCGTAGATGTTACGGAATATTTCACTTAACTTACGTCTGAACCACTCTGACATCTTATCAAAATTAGAGACATCCAGGATCAATCTACATGCTTCCATCAGTTTTCAATCTATGAAAGTCCACTGGTAATTAGTAACCTATGCATTCAGATTGTCAGATGTATCCATTGTTGTTTTTGTTAATCAGATCACTGGATATGTGTACTCATGCGTAAGAAACAAAAAGGGTAAGAAAATTTTCTTCAAATTCAAGTAAGTGGTTTTTCTAACAAAAAAATGAAATGCTTTCTGTCCCATCACCAAACAGGTGAATGAATCAACCCAAAAACCCGGCATGGAAGCGAAACACATCAAACTATCAGAACGAGAAACAGTATACGGATGAAGAAACTAAAAAAACAGATGGCTTATTGAAAATATCCAACTTCAGAAGTAATGAAGATTAAAATATTACTTATTCTTAAACCATTGTTTCCTGACATTTGGGGACATCTACTAGACATGCTGTGTCTAGATACATGCTTCACATCAGCACTTACAATTTGTATAATGGTGAGGTGTTTCAACGTGACCACCTTAACTGTTTTCCAACCTGATTATATCTCATTAAATATACTTTGTCTAAGATGACTACTCGGTGCGTCGGTGGCACAGCGGTTGGGACGCTCACCAACCATGCACATGGTCCGGGGTTCGATCCCCGGCCGACGAACTCTTTTACCTCGCTAAGCCAGAAAAAATACTGGTAAAGAGGAAAGGTTGGGCATTGGGGTAGCAACCTCATCCCGTAAAAATAAACACTGCTACAGAAACTTCAAGCCACTAGGTTGAAGCCTTATGTTCCACTGGGGACGTGAAGGAAAAAAAATTATTAAGATGACTACTCAATCTCAATAAAAAATGTTAGCCAACTTAATTTATGAATATTCCTGCTCTAATCAACTGACGTGAGTTCTTTACTCAACATTTTGTATCTAATCTCAGTAATGTTTATCTTGTTTTTGTTTCACAGACAAGAACCTGTAATCAATGCATGCTTTCAGCTTTCGATAAGTTTATCATGCAGCTGTGTGTACACCTCTATTGTTTGTTTCAAAATTGACATTTGGTTGATATTGCTAATAATAAGTAGCAGCAGCTTGACACAGAAACGTAGTGCACAAATGTTTGGACTCACAGACTTTATTACATGCGTTTGCACGACGCACATAATATTCTTAAAAGTACAACTGTGAGCGATGAATTATTATTTAATATATCAGACAGGTTTCAGATTTTATAAGCCAGAAAATGATACTACTGAATAATATTTCAGTAGCATGAATTATAATTAAAATAATTCAAATACACTATATCCATTCAATTATATTCCATTGTGTTAGAATTAGAAGAGTTCTACAGCCCTTAGAAGTTTATAAGGCAACAAGATTATATCACACTAAATAACTAGAGATATTATATTAACTTGTAGTATCAGCTTCAGGGATTTTGCAGTGTGTAAACAAGAGGCAACTTCTAGAACTGAATGTGGAGTCAAATGGTTCAAGAGTAAATAAGATGTGCAACTGATTCCCTCATTCAGGATATATCACTTCAAAAATTATCGTTTATACGTTACTTGCCAATCAAATAGCATAGTTTTTCCATGAAAAAATAATCAGATTTCACTGATAAAAACAGATTTTCAATTATTCAATAAATAGTACTCTGCATTCAGCTTATGAATGGATTACTTAAGTGGATTCTAATAGGGATGGATGAGAATTATGTCAGATTCTACATAGATGAACTCTGACTGTTTAACGTAGAGGTATTTTTTACTGTTTAAATTCATAGCTGTTTCACAGATTCAAATCAATAATAATTTCCTCTCACATATAAACTCATTAGTAAAGGGAATAAAGGTGAACTATATGCTAGAGTTTATAAAAAGCCGACACATGCTAATAGATATTTAGAATTTAATTCACATCGTCCACTATCTGTGAAAGCAGGCTTAGTTAAGTGCTTAACGCATTCAGTAATAACACCAAGTAGCACCTCAAAAAACCTAGCTGATGAAATGTAACATACAGAAGTAGCATGCATGTTGAATAACTATCCCATAAAATTCATTAAGAAGATCAAAAACGGACAGAAGAAAAATAAAAATAATAGTGCAACTGGTAATGATAACATAAAGAAGAAGGAATATAAGCTATCTACAGTTTTACCCCATGATAAAGGGATATCTGAGACCCCCTGTAGGATTCTTAATAGAGCAGGAGCTAGGGTGGTATTTTAACCTACAATTTCACTCAGAGACTAGCTCTGTAGGTTAAAGGACCATGTAAGCTGACCCAATTAGAAAAAATTACATAATTTACAAACTATTTTGCAATGACTATGAGTCAAGTCAACTACATAGGTCAGACTAGTAGATCGGGGGTAGTCAGATTATCAGAACATAAGAATTTAGCTATGGTTAGAATGATTGACCCCACGAAGATAAGTAATTTAGAGAAAAACTCAGCAATCGCACTGCATGCATTAAAACACGCAACCACACAATAGAGTGGGACAGAGTCAAAATTTTAAAAAGTAATATAGGTAGGTGGAGAGAGAGATTGATTACTAAATCCAGGTTCGTCGAGTCTACACCCGATACATGCAAAAGAAATGACTCAACACATATACTTTAGATATGAAAAATACTACTACCATTCATCAAATCAAGGGATGAGAAATAATGGAATAATATATAAACGAAATCAGAAAGTTGTGTGAGGAACTTGACATGATTATGAGCAATAAATTGTACTCGTAACGTCATCAGTAAATAAATATTACTGTATAACACTGTGAAACTTTGTCAAGATGAATTTTCTCCATAATCAATTATAGACACTCTAAAATTGCTGAAGTTAAAGTCGAAGATGAAATCTGTCAAACAGCAAACAGATGATCTGGAGAGAAATGGTGAGTTTGAAATTCTAAAGCCACTAAAGTGATTTATGCTAGCGGTATATGATAAGACGATAAGTATATGGAGAAAACAAAACAAGGCCATATTGAATTCAAACAAGACAATAAAATGCGTAAACCTGTTTATCAAAACTTTCAAATTCGAAATAAAAAAAGCTGAGGTGGTTTTGGTCATACGAATATCAATACCTTTACTAGGCCAACTAAATACCCTGTATCCTTTATATTTCAAGTATTGGTTTGTAGCGACTTAATTGATTGGTTACAGGATCTCATTATTAGCTGACATTGGTTAAAGAACCATTGGAAAACCTGAGAGTACTAGACAGCTGTTTCGTCCTAGTTTGGGACCCTTCAGCGGTACTCACACATCGGGGTTCGAACCCAGAACCTTCTGGTTACAAGGCTAGCCCGTAGACGATTGAACCACTGGGACTCGATTGAATGGTCCATGAATTCTAACTTCTGCTCGCCTGGGTTCGAACCCCGGTGGGTGCGTACTGCCGATGAGTCCCAAACTAGGACGAAACAGCTGTCCAGTACTCTCAGGTTTTCCGATGGTTCTTTAACCAATGTCAGGTCATAACGAAATCCTGTAATCCTTTATGTTTCATTTTAAAGGTGGTTTCTCCAAGAAAATGACTAGCTAGCTACTACTACTACTCTACATTTACTTCATTTCCAATAATCTCTTTTCGATACGTGGTTGTGAAAACACAGATTTTCAAATTGTCTTGCTTATAAAAAATACAATTCTTTCACAAGCGTTTCTATAATCTCTATTTATTTGGAGGTAGACATTAAATTTCCTCTTAGCGTAAACTTATAGTTCTGTGTGGCAGTGGGTAGTAATCAACATAACTTTTCTTAGCTTAATTATGTTAGTATATATATATAAAGTCGTTTGTCAGTGATTTGTTAGCAGAATGCTTGCCAACCACTCATGTGGTTCTAGTTCGCTTACCGGCCAACGAGCTCCTAAACCTTAATTAACTGGGAATAAGCCCAGCAAAGAAGGAAAGTTGTGCGCAAGGCTAGCAATGCAACCAGTAAAAAGTATATCATCACCATGGAACTTCAAAGTTAGAACAGGAATCCTTGTGTTCCCCTCGGAACACAAAAGAATTTTAAAAAACATATATTTTAAGTCATAACTTTTCAGATTTTCAGCGTAAATGAAAATAACAATCTTGTCAGCCGTTTAAATAAACAAAAACCTTCTTTACTTTCACGATAACAAAAACGCACTTACATGTGGTGTACAGTTCTCACTGAACAGAAAGTTCGAATGCATAGTTAAATAATAATTGAATTTATTTGTAAATACTGTTCATCGCCTGCAAATATTCACGCAAATTTAATTTTTTTTGTTATCTATACAATCTTCATTATTGATAAAAAGATGTTTTTTAGTGTAACAATGTCAGTGAATTATTTTCTTCTTTAGGGCAAGCTTTAGACTGCGAAAGGACGTGACAATAGTTTTTTAATCTGTTGAAAAGTAAGTAGAATTCAAAAAGAAAAGCACTTTAAAAAACTCTACTTATGTCTAATTCTTTATTTGAACAAACAAATATTTCCTGAGATTTTTTGCCGTAGTTTATGTGTTTTACTCTCCATATAACTTATGTTTGCTTCAATTCATTAAACATCGAACTTGGAAACTGAATAAATCCTTGACAGTTTACGTAACAAATAAAAAACACATTTTCTATAGAAACAGTACTTCATAACTGCTAATACACACTTTTATTCTGAAATCGCCTTATTATTAGCATCTTTCAAAAAGTTGCTTTACAAGCTGCAATCTTATTCGTATGAAAATCAGTTTCCGACTTTATATTACGCATATTATTAATCGAAATTTATGTTGAAAAAGTGACACGCTACTAAATGGAAAGTATGTGACTCCCTACAGAAATTTTTCATAGATTAACTACAAGTGAACGGTATACAACATCCATACAGACAGTAACAGGAAATTTTCAATTCAAAATGATAATTAGTTGTAGGATTTCCTCATGAGCTGACATCATTTAGAGAACCACTGGAAAACCACCCAGGAGTACTGAATATCTGTTTTATCCTAGTTTGGGACTCTTCATCAGTATGCGTCCGCAAACGGGGTTGGAACCCAGGACCTTCTGGCTACAAGGCTGGCGTGCTCGCAGACCATTAAGCCACTGGGACCCGACCCAATGGCCAGTCCATGGATTCTAACTTCTGCCAATTCCTGACATAGCACAACCGCTTCGCAATGTCTTCTTCGATGAATTACTGCCTCACCTTTAACCTGCTGCACCCTAATAGTCACGGCTTGCCACCAGAATTCATGGTCACTGCCTGAATAGGACCAGTCGCTAGTGAGCATCAGTGGCTTAACGGTCTAAAAGCTTGCCTTGTAACCAGAAAGTCCTGGGTTCCAACCCCGATGGGTGCGCACTGATGAAGAATTCCATACTAGGACTAAACAGATATCCAGTACTCCCGGGTGGTTTTCCAACGGTTCTCTAACCGATGTCAGCTAATGATGAAATCCTCCAACCAATCAAACAAAACCCTTACAAAAACAGATACTTGAAAATCATAATGATAATTTTATTAATTCTCATCAGATAGACAGTTTATATCAGTTGTATTTGACAGGAAGCATTTTTAACAGCCTCAGACTTTCATAATTATTTGCCTTCGCTTGGTAATAGAGGTTAGATGGCCAGTCAGAAAAGTAAAGCAACAATGAAGTCTGGAAACGAATCAGCAAAGAAACTATCGCTCAACAAATATACAGAAGGAAATGGAGGCGGATTAGACATATGCTGAATAGTCCATTGAGTAACACACACGCCAGATCCTTAAGTAGAACCCGAGTGGGAAACTACGAGTTTGGCAGATGGTAAAATGTAGGAGGTCATGTGGGGAGGAAATGAACATAATATAAGCTGTGTTGACAAATATGCTTATCTTGATTTATTCTTGGGGATATTGATTGCCTTTCATAATATATCTTTATCCATTATTTAATTGAGGATAGTTTCATTCAGTTATCATCACCCCGAAACCTTTGTTTTATAGTGTTTGAACAAAATAGATCCCGAATCAAATATTTAAAATCTTGCTGTACATGGTCCTCCCTGAAATATTTCAGAAAATGAGATTTATTTTGAGAGATACTAATAGATTTCGACTGTAGGTATATTCGCTCAATATTGCGTGCCACGTGATGCTGTGAGGTTGCTAATACAGAAGCCAGGCATAGTTTTGATTCCAGTTGTTAGGTTTGTGTTACGAATTAACATCAGTTAGAGAGGTCATTGAAAACTAGGGGGCACTGGATATCTGTTACCTTCTATTTTCTGACTCCTCAGCCCCACTTGGGATGGGACATGGGACCTTTAGGCTATGCGACCAAGCTCTCTGACCATTCAGCCACTTGGTCTGGAATTCAATGACCCTTGAATTCTAACCCTATCGACTCGTGATATAGCGCCGCTCTCACCAAAACCTTTGGTGAGCATCCAGTTTGCCTTCATAGGTGGACCCCACTGGTAATGACTTCCCACCACAGCTTCAGGAAATCCATCCAGTGACTAACAGTTAGCTGGCGATTGGTATTTAGATTGAAGGATTTGAAAGGATTTTGGAATAATTTCACTTATCATATTTTCGTCACTAACCAAGTAAGTAAGTAAGCAAAATAAATCCATGGAATTGTAAAGGTCAGTAGACTGAGATGACTAGCATATGTTTTAAATATACTGAGCCGTCACCTACATTAGCTGGGTGGGGGAAAATCTAGCGGCGGTTAGACATAAATGCATTCCTTAATCACCAAGCATTCGACTATTGTTTTAAGTCATTCCATGTTAAATTGTTTAATAAATGTGTCATATAGCGAAACATTATTATTTACTGGATGACATTTTGAACAAAATTTACTGTTTATAATCACATCAGTTATAGTTACACAACTTCAGAACTTCAGTTTTACACTTCTCTTTATTTTTTTCCATTCGTAGCAGAATTTTCCCAATGTCCGGGACAGATGTTGAAGCATTTCTTCTCCACGATTTTCATCTGATTCAATCAATTTTACTTATGTATTTTACCCAGTAGTCATTACAGGGTATTAGATAAACTAAACCGTTTTTCTAATGGGCATTACAGGAACATTTTACGGACAAAGTTTGAATCTGAGTTAGTTTGTAGGTTTGAATGGCACTTTTATTCCTGTATCGTTGAGCATTCTCCGCAGGGTCTCCGTAGTTTATTCTTCGTATGGAAGTACTGCCGATGAATTATATTACTTGTTATTGGCGCATATCTGTCACTCATTTCGTCATTATTATTATTGCTTCCATTAATACTAATTTTATTTTTACGTTTTTATTCATACTTCCTGACTAATTTTCTGGTGTAATTACTGAGTCCTAAAGCTCCTCTTATATACCTCACTCCATATCATAGATTTCCTTCAGTGCTGTTTATTTTTTTCGCTCTATTACTTAAATATTTTACCAGTCCTATTTTTAATGACACAGGGTTGGATGCACCGAAATTCAAATATCGGCTTGAACTTATAAGTTTTCTGTAAACACTAGTATTTAACTTATCATCGTCTTTGCTTTTTATGCTACAACCTGACATTTGTAGCTCCTCTTCCTGACTTTCCAATCCACAAGTGAGCTGAATTGCCTCTACCTTAGAGTTTATATTTACAAAAAATCTATTTATGTCCTATGGTCTAAGTACGGTGAATGTGTCATCAACATACCTCCACTATACTTTGTGGGTGGGTCTGAACATTTCGCTTGCTAAGCTTTTCCACCTATGTATGAATATATGTGCCACTATCAGGGATATTGGTGACCCTATGACAACTCCTTCCATTTGTCTGTAAATTGTAGTACATACTTTGTTTCTATATTTCCTGCTATCCCTACAACAAATAGAAAGGAATAAAAGTACTATAAAACGCAAGTTCCGAAGTTGTATATTTGTATTTGATGTGACGATGAACAGTCAAATGTGTTCCAAAATTCAACCAGTATATAATAATGTTCCACTGTATGATATATTTATTAAACAAATTAATATGCAATTACATATTACCGCAGCTCCAGATTGTCTACACCTATACTGTTTTGAGTCAAGTAACGGGGTTTACACTATATAGTCGGGGTCTTTAGGATGTTAAGAATCAGTTGACGCAGACATCTGGCGACATGACACAAAGTAGCCTGCAATAATTCCAACGTATTTTATTCATGCCATATCTACCAACTTTAATTGTAATTTCGTCTGTTATAGTTTGATTACATTTTCTCTCTGTAATTTTATATGCGCTTTAAGGAAGCGTGGCGGTTTAAAATGCCACACTTTTGTACTGGGCTTAACGTTGCCAGATCAATAATTTACTGACCGAACAGTGTTAAATCAATCTTTCGTCTCATTTACTCAAATGTCAGTTGTGCCATCTCTTTAAGTGGAATACAGATAAAGGCGTTATCTATGGGTCAAATTCTGAAACAATAAGATCCACACAAATAGTTTCAAAACCACCCTCAGCAAGCTTGTGAGTGGAAATTTGACTACGCCACGGAATATATAATGACTAAAACAGCAAGTCAACCAGATTTCAAAATTGGAACGGATCTTAAGTCTGACTGTTATATTATTACTGACATGTAAGGGAAAGTTTGCATTTAATGCCTTCAGTTGAAAGCCTTAGGGGAAGTTGGCGCTACCATTTTAAAATTCATTGTCTAATTTACCCAGTATACCAAGTAAACTATACATACACCAGCTTTTCCTGTTATTTATAGAGTAAACAGTATTTCTGAGTTCTGTATCTCAATGACACTCCTAACTAGGAATAATTATTGTGATCGTAGGAATGCCAAATGTTTAGAGCCTCATCTTCACATTTCGAGATTTCGCCTCTCAAATAAACCTATCATACCCTGCATTCTGGTATCAAAACATCAGAAGAAATATTTTACTGACCCTTCACTAGCGTTAACTTGTCTTCATCACACCAAAATTGAACCAGAGCTTAAATAGAAAGAATGATTGTTTTTCGTAAACATTTACTGAGTCGACTTCAAGCTTGCCTTGAGACCCTCGTAGTAGTTTAAATTTTGTTCTAGAGGATAAGCATCTGATGCTATTTTACTCTTTCCATTGCTGTGGAAAATGACTACATCCTCAGAGTCTTTAGGTCAGCCTATCTTTTCCAGAACTTAACTTAAGCCACTACACTATGTTGAATACACAGCTACCCAGAGCCAAATCTTAAGTAATCCAGTCTTTTTGTTTAGGTGTTTAGCTATATAATTTACTGATTAAGCGGGAAACAGATCATATCAATGTAACATCGTGGAGAGGAACAATCTGTGGAATGCATACTATTGAAAAAGTAGGACGAAATGGAAGAATAGGTTTTTTATCAAGCTACATGAATTAAGTCAAAAGAAGTTGAACATTTTTTATCAAGAGGAAAGTCCGGGAAAAGAGGCTCTATGAGATAGTTGGCTAAGTAGAAAACACTGGATAGAAAAGAAATAGCGGTGGACGATTCAGCATTTTCCTACTTTTCTTTTCTACACCTTACCCGTCTAGAACTGTCCAAATAAACTGATCGGAGAAAAAGAACAAAAACGAGTGAACAGTGAGCGAACGACAGGCAAAGCCGATAGCAAAAATGAACGGACGAATTTATGTTATAGTACTTAACTCTCATCATTTTGGTTCTTATCTGACCAAAATTTGACCAATATTCTGCCATTATTTAACTCTTACTTTTCGACTTTAACCATTAGTTCAGCAGTGTTTCGACCATTACCTAATGTAATTCACAAATTATGTTACAATTTTCATCATCTGACTGAAATCATATCCGTTTTAACCATTATTTCACCATTCTTTAACCATTTTTATCCGAACATACGTACTTCCCGTATAGGAAGCCATATTTTACCGATATTTTGTGTGTATTTCAAGCTTTTACTTGCCTCCACCATTCAGAGTTCCATATCAGTGCATAGATAAACAAACAGAAGCAAGTTAAAGACGTAAAGCATTATGGGGATTAATAAGGGGTAAAATTTGCACTTAAATTAAGCCCAAACTCTGTAGCGATTGATAATTTTGAGGACCTATTTTTGTTCTGATTAATTTTAAAATGTCGAAGAAAATTTAGAAAAATGTTGGTAAATTTTCTAAAACACCAAAATTCCCTTGAAATTGTCAAATGAGGGATATAATATTCTCACTATATTTAAACTGTTTACACTTCCCGTAATAGGAATTCTTTGGCTCTCCGCCACATGAAAACTCCTAACACCAAAAATTCTGATGACTAATTTAATGCTTTCGAGGAGCAGATAGAATTTTTTAGACGTTAAACGGAATTACCATACTAACTTTAAAAAAAGCGGCGTTTCTTTATCACTTTCGTTGTCAATAGTTCAATACTTGTTATTGCTTCATACACCTAATAATTTTCGCTTTAAAATCACAAGATATGTATTTTAAACTGGTCATAGATATCCACTTAGTTTTCATCATTGGTAATTAAGTTGCATATCGTAAAATATATTGTAACCTCTAAGCAAAATGACGGAAAAAACAAAACAGACACAACATATTTTGACATATTCTGTTCTGTTGTTCATGTATCCATAAATTAAGGATCTTGTTCTCCCTTCAGTTACTCTAGTTGGAGCCCAGGGTTCAACTCCTCATTGTGATCTTAATTTGGGTTGACCCTGCTGACGATTATTTTCTTTAAGTTAATGATTGTGATGCCATTGGAAGCTACCCTACCATCACCAACCATGGATATGGGGCGATCCAGATAACGACTGAAACAGTGTCACTGTTAGCTTTCTCCAACCGGAAAACATTATAATAACCAACAGCCACTGTAAAATAATCCGTATTATAGTACGTGTCCACAGACACCTACCATTTCCATCCACAGTTTGTTCGCATTACTCAAATGGTTCCAGCATTATAGGGAAAATGGATTGCTACAATCGGAATTTTTATGTGATTATGGAAGTACATCAAGGCGGTCGAATAAAAGGCTCTGTATCTATTGGAGAATATTGGAATATTAAGACATTCTGATATGACTCTCACTTTGAGGTTACTGGCTTTCGCAACTCAGAGATATCGTTGTATGCACTGTACGAAGTTGCTGAAAGACAGTATTTAATCGCTTTTTGGAACCAGTCAGTGCAGCAACTTCTACGTGGCGATTTCACTTTTAGCGTTGCTTTTGAAAGTTATCATATAAATATATATAAATCTCTTTTTAAACCTCGTATAAGATGACCTAAATTGCCAAAACAGCCTGAAACCGCCAGTTGCCCGGTGAATAGCACTTGTGCTAGAAAGTAAATTTGGTCTCCTGACTCAACCCTAGCTCTAATGTTTCTCTAACCCAACCGTCAGCTATACTCAATATATTCCTATACTAACGCTAATCTATTCCTGGCTGAATCTGATATCTTCTAAATTTGGTTTAATTAACTCTAACTAGCATCTGTCCTAAACCCTACCAAAGACGAACCAAACGTCAGTTTAAATCTCATAAAACGTCACTCAGTATTTTTTATGAATATGGTGTTGTCCACCTGGCTTCACCGACTCTCGACGAATGCGTCTTCCGTGGTCATTAGGACGATATTTTCTTTAAAGTGACTAAAATGCCCGCAGAGCCTATATTACACTGCAGGGTAGGACTATTTCCTCCAAAGTGGATTTAGTTAAAGCCTATCACCAGATATTAGTTGCTTCTGAATATATTGAGGAGACAGTCATTATAACAACTTTTGGCTTGTTTGAATTCCTACGAATGCCACTCGGGCTGAAAAACGCTGCACAGTCTTTTCAGCGCTTCCTGGACCAAGTCATCAGGGCCTTGATTTTGTTTTCGTTTATATGGATAATCTGTTAATTGGTAGCAAGTCAGAAGAGGAACATAAGGATTACCTCAGCACTTTGTTTCAGCGTTCTGGACAATATAGTGCCGCTATAAACCCTCAGAAGTGCAATTTCGGTAAAACCTTTGACCGATCTATTTAAAAGTGATCCTAAGAAGTCTCAGTGGTCAGCGCAAGCAAATAAATCTATATTTAACACAAAAAACGCATTGTCCAAAGTCTCTATGGTGTCTCACATCAACCCCGAAGTATCTCTCATCCTGTGCACAGATGCTTCACATGTAGCAGTGGGGCAGTATTACAGCAGAAGACGAATGGTGAAGTTGCTTCACTTGCTTTCTTTTCTAAGAAGTTAGAACCAGGTCAGGTACGTTACAACACATTTGGGAGAGAATTGTTGGCTATCTGTCTAGCGATCAAGCACTTTAGTTACTTACTATAGGCTCGCCATTCCACTACTTTTACCGACCACAAGCCCATTTGCTCTGCTTTCACTACGTCACTGGATAGATACTCCCTCAGAGAAGCCAGACAGCTTTTCTGATTACAGCTTGATTCCACACCGTTTGACCATATTTCCCAATTTTCAACTGACACCTAGTACGCCAAAGGTGACGAAAATGTACTAACCGATTCTCTTTCAAGAGGTGACATTAACCAGCTCGAAACTTCAATAGACATCAGTCTCGACCTTATGGTGCAGTTCCAAAGAGAAGAAGCTGAACTCCAAACTTGGCGCGGAAACCCTTCCTTAAAGTTCCTCGACGTTCTTATTCCCTTATCAGGCGCAAATAAAGTTTGCGGTGTATTTACCGGCACTAATCGTCTATTTGTTCGGCTCATATGTCGGAAACCTTTGTTGCAACATTTGCATTCCCTTTCTCATCCTGGAGTACGTACTACGGTCAGACTTATCAGCGAACGTTTTTTGCGGCCTAGAATGAACTCTGATGTTCGGAGATGGGCACGGGAATGTCTCCAATACCAGTGCTCAAAAGTACATCGCCGAAGACATTTGATTTATCAGATAAAAGATTTCAAAATGTTCATATTGAGAATGTAGGACCACTACTCACATCTAGAGGGTATACACTTATTCTTACAGCCATAGACAGATCTACTCGATGGGCTATCGCATGCTCGCTAAACGATGTATCCGTAGAGAATGTTGCTTTGGTTTTTCTTGACCGTTAGGTGTCAGATTACGGAGTACCAACTACCATTACATCCGACCGAGGCGCCCAATTCCAAACAACTGTTTTTCGTGAGCTAATGAGACTCCTTGGAGAAGAACATTTCTCCACGACAGCTTATCACCTGGCAGCGAATAGTCTTGTGAAAAGATACCACAGACAACTGAAAAGCTCCCAAATGCCACAGAATGATACACCCAAGTGAAGTGAATACTTACCATTGATTTCACTGGGTATCCGATCTACTATAAAAGAAGATTTAGAATGTACACCAGCTCAAATTGTTTATGGTACGAACTTAACTTTGGCTGGAGAGTTAGTTCCCTCAGCCTGTTCGACAGACTGAAATATTGCTGACTTCACCAACCCATTAACTAGAAAATGCTCCAACTTTAAGCAACAGCATCTCGACAATCTCTCCGACAAGATCAGGTCAACAAAAGCCTATAAAATTGCAAATTTGTCTTTGTTCGAGTCAACGCCATCAAAAAAGGATTGCAACCTCCATACGAAGTTCCCTTCCAATTCATTAAACTTTCAGACAAACACTTTACAGTGAACAAAAATGGAAAACAGGAGAATATATCCACTGATAGAATCAAACTAGCCTACACAGACAGCGACTTTGAAGCTACATTGACGTCTGCACAACCAAATAATCAGACGTTTGATTCAACTCCAACGGTACCAATACTTATTCATCCTCCATATCAAACACGTAGTGGTTGACAAATTAGTAAACCTGCCCGCTGCGTCCATTCTGTGGACTAGACGTGTAACCGGAAGGTCCTGGGTTCGAATCCCGGTGGGTGTGTACTGCTGAAGAGTCACAAACTAGGACAAAACAGCTGTCCAGTACACCCAGGTTTTCCAGTGGTTCTCTAACTAGTGTCAGCTCATGATTAAATCCTGAAAATTACATTTTCTTCGCCGATACATTATTATCATAACAATTGCTATTTTTCGTACACTTTGATACCATTGTTACTATAAATGATTATTATCACCATTATTTATTTATTTAAATGCACCCCAGCCACAAAATAGGTATCTGCGTTTTTCAGAAACGACTTGATTTTTAATCCATTTTTCACTCTCATTGATGACTGTTTACATATATATATATATATATATATCTTTGTTTGTACATTAAAAGTCTTTGTTCATAGCTTCTGCAAAGGGAAACCGACCTCATTTAGTTGATATGATCTTCTATTTCGATTTTCGTTGTTGAACTATCTGTAAATGCATTCAAACATTAAACAATCCAAATACCTTTTCGCGTACATGCATGTTATTATGTATATTTATTATTATGGCACCGCTGAGAAAATGAGACAGACATATTACTGATTTTAAATCAATACACCATCTCACTACAAGTCTTGAATAAGATGCAATGCAGTAAACAACAAAGTTATGTGGAAGAAATGACTTTGGGTTTTATTTTTTCACAGGTATTCGTGATCCATATTATTTCTATATTTCTCAATGTACTACATTCAATGAACAGTCAGCAGAATGTTACAGATGACTCTTAGGTCAAAAAGAGCAGTAACCATGTAAATTCACCTTAAACCAAAATTTTTCCAGTCGGATAACGCATAGAGGATAAGTGAGCGAAATGTGAGATAAATGGATAATTTGGATCTACTAAGAAGTGTGCGAAAAGTGGATAAAAAGTGTGACATAAGTTACCCACGTCTTCTCTTTTTTCACATATTCCCTTTTCACCTACTGTTAATCCCATATTTCTCTCACTCATACCCTTTTTTTCACGTGTTGAGCCTACGAATTACAGAGTTTATCCTCTGACTGTAAACTACTACACTATTTTTCCTACAGTTATAAGCATAATTATAGCTGTTTTTCAAGTTTGATTTTTCTATGATTTTGAATTTCACTAAAATAGAAGGCAAACCTAAGGTGGGAATAATATATGTTATACAAATGAACCCAGAAGGTCCTGGGTTCGAATCCCGGTGGGTGCGTACTGCTGAGGAGTCACAAACTAGGACGAAACGGCTGTCCAGTACTCCCAGGTTTTCCAGTGGTTCTCTAACTGATGTCAGCTCATGATTAAGTCCTCCATGCAATCAAACAAAATCCCTACAAAAACCAATACTTGAATATTTCGTTTATAAAAATGACTACAAGTAAAAAATGCGCAGTATTAATTTTATAAATAAATATAAATTAATTTTGTAAACTGATTGACTGTGACCGGGTTGACTAGCGTTGCAGGACTTATGTAATAAAATCTATGAAGTAAAAGTCACCTACTTTTCCAACA